TCAGTGTACATAATGCAGTAGTAAGTGCTTATTGCTTAACATTCAGTTGTTTCTTGTTATAGGTTGGCACGGAGAGGTTTGAAAAACAATATGCATACAGCATCCGCCATAATTATGGAAGAGAAGGAAAGAGAACAGTAAGATCTTCAGCTCATCACCATTTAGATAACCATATGTATTTGAATTAGTAAAGTTTATTAGAATCCCGTCATGAGATTTGACCAGAAACAATAATGGTCAGTGTATGAAAGTGATAGTAAACAGACCGTATATGAACCATTCATTTTTCCTGGTATTTGATATTTATAGGTTTCTTGAGCTTTTGGGCCTTTTTAGCCTGTTGAAATTTGACTGTTGCTTTGTATGCATTGTGAATTCATCTAATGTTGCTAATTTGTTATTGCTGCAGGATTATACACCTTATGCCTGTCACAAAATCATCTCATCAACTCCTGGTGTAGGAGATCATCATGGTTGCCCCTATAAGCATTTTGGGTAAAATCTTTAACTAACTTTCACTTTATTAGGACACTTAGCTAGAGTGAAGGAATGGTGTTTTGTTCAGAAAACTCCTTTTTTTGGATTTAATTCGGCTCCTTGTATAATTGTATTTCTCAAAATAAATGAAAAACAAAAAAACCTAATTCAGTGATAACTAGGGGTAACCAAGTGTTTCTATGAACATTTTGAAATTGTTTTGTGTTAATTTTGGAGTCTGAAACTTGGAGGAAGTAATCTGTATTTCAAATTTAGGTTTAAATTACTTGAAGTGAAACTCAACAGAGTGATATTCATCTTGCGAGTTACATGGCAAGCCAAATCCTTATATAATTATTCAGTTCTTTGATTGGAAAGAAAAATGCATGTCTGATCATCTCACTCCTTTTAATATCATTTTGAATCCCCATCATGCTACACAGGGGCATTGTTAACTTCATTCCATTGGCATAAGACTTTGTGAAATTTATTTTTAGTTGAGTGAGCCATCAACATCTATCTTGATGCTGAGCCCAGCAACAAAATTTAAAAGCATTAGGATGCAAATGTTTAGCCTAAAGTACTTTTGATCCCACCATAGAACTTGAATTTGGTAATAATTTGGCTAAATATAAATGTGTCTTCACTTAAGTTTTATATATTTTTTCATGTTATTTTTATGCAACAGTGAGGAGAACCTAAGGGCTGCAATTGAGAGAATGGGAGTAGGTAGTCGTGCAATAGAAGATATAATGGACAAAGTGCACAATAGACATTATCAGGTCAGAAGATTATCAGCTTTCTATTTGTTTGTTGCTTTTCTAATATCCTACTAATATAGAAATTCATGTCTGTGAACAATGGTGAAAAAAAATGCAGTTGGCATGCACCTTAACCTTTGAAGCTGTTCATGGGTCATCATGTGACACAGGAATCAACCACCCAAACCAGTATTTCAGTGATAGCCAAAAGATCCTCAAGTCCAAGGTAGATACTTAATGTCACAGATTTAAATTTAAATTAGGAGTGATTTTTTTTCCTTTTTTGCAAAGATGTAATAATCATACTGCTATCACACATTGGTTTTAGCGTAATTCAAATAACTCTACTAAGATAGTAAGAGAGCTGCAGTCTATTGGTTTTTTTGTCATCGCCAAATGTCTTCATGATTTAGACCTCAAACTGGTTGTCATGCTGATTGAACATGCGGTATGCTTAGTTCTGAGTAGATACAAAGTATGGAGAAAATTTAGTTGTTTTAATGCTTAAGACATTGTGTTTACAAATTTCTAATCTTCTAGATGTGCATCGTAATTATGGTTGTGACTGGGGCCATCAGTGTTATCCTGTGCTCTTTGCCTGTTTCTCTTGTAGAGTGAACAGTCCAGGTTAACCCTTCAGGCTTCTTAAAGTCAAGCACACTCGTTAGTGCTGATAGTCTCCACCATTTATCCTTGATAAACATAAAGGTTCTATTTTCGGCCATGTGAGCCCATTCTTATCCCAAGTTGTATGTCCTTTATACTAATATTATATAATATATATACGCGCACACACACACAAGCTGGGGCATGAACAAACCAAATGCAACTTGGATACTTTATTGATTGAATGCTAGACTAAATTATTTTCTTTTATTTGCAGACCACTTCTGCAGCATAAAGAGACAGAATTTTGTTTATCACAAAGGAGTAGTAATTATATGGGCCTCCCCAGGTTTGTGCTTTCATCTTGTGGACCAAGAACTCTTTATGGCTTCTCTCTTTTTGAAAATTGTTTATTTATGTAGATCTATAATTGTGTTAGGCAGGTTGGAGGACCTACAATGTTTGTTCACAAAGTGATCTGAACTAAATTATTTATTATTTTGTTCAATTCTTTTGCTTTATAAATCTCATCCATCAGAGTTGTTATTCTTACCCCTCAATGCAAAATGGCATATTCACTTATGGAACTGCCAAAGTTGATCTCTATACACTACCACTACACTAGACTAAAGGCCACCCAACTGAGTTTTAAATTTTCAGTTATGTTTATCCTAGGCTTCAATTTTACTTTCAAAAGCATGTTGGTGTATCTACAAAAAGAACGGTAAGAATTTTTTCACCAATCTCGTGGAATAGTTAGCCAATGGGAATGAGAATTGTGGATTGGTGGTTGACCTTCCATCCATTTCTGAGTTTGGTTTGATCAGCCAGTTATGTCTGACCTATAGTACCTCAGCTTGTGTAGTTAGTGGGCATCTACTCTAAATCCGAAAGCAAGAAGTTTGATTTTTGGGTTCCTGCGAAATGGGTCTAGCAAAATAGTGTTGTTAGTTGTTAATGGGGACCAGCCCTTGTGTTCATAAATGTAGCCAAGTGTCCACATTGTCATTGCTAACTTTTAGCTTTATATTTGGTTAGTTGGACTGACTGGTGGTTAGTTGTGAATGTGCATACGCAATGATTGAACTGCGTTTCTTTTCTTTGTGTTTCTTTAACCCTTTTTGCTGCCTTTTTTGCCTTTCAATACAGCACATCCAAGTCACTACTCTCATCTTGTATCCCTACGAATTTGCTTTTATGATCCTCACACTTAAAAAGTAAAATAAGGATTTTTCATTGAAGTTTACTTTATCTTTAAATTTCCAGAGTGATGTTCAAATATGATTAATTAATATCATAACTTTGGTTAAATGATTTTCTACTAGACATGAATTAGAAAGCTATTTCTGTAATAGTTTATTATAATTTTCTGGGACAGGTGAACACCTCGGAGTATGCAATCAAACCATTCATGTGGTACTTGTCCTATATATATGGACTGTATATGTGGTTTATGTTGATCCCATCCATATTAGTTATACTAGCATGAATGCACTAAGCAAGACAAAGATTCGGCATGGTCGTAACAAATTCTTGATGTTGTCGCTGTCCTGCGGACTCTCTCTAAGTGCTTTCTCTTAATTCTTTATTTTTAAGTACTTAATGTGGAACTTATTTATTTAACTTTTGTAAGTGGATCTAAATATCATTTTAACTCTTTGGTTTGATTGTTGGGAAATATTTTTTTGGTCATTGTTAAAAATTAATTGTTGAAATCTAATGATTGATGGTTATTACTTATAATTCAAACATTCTTTTCTTTTGAATAAGTAAAAACAACGATTCATGTGATTAGGAAAAAAATAGCTATTAACTTAATAGTTAAAACAAACAAATTCTTAATGTATTTTGAGAAAGCATGACTTGCGTTGAATTGCAAAACTATGATTGTTGATGAGAGAACTACCTCACATTTAAGGGGTCTTATTCCTCATCAATAATTTTAAGTTGTGCAGATGGCGCAACACATGGCTGTTCAGGATATGGCATAAAACGTTTCTCTTATTTTTGGTTTATGAAGACTGATAATAATATCAAGGAAGCAAATCAAGTCCTGGGATAGCAAACCCGTACAATATCCGCCGCACATAGAAGGCCCACATCTGAAGAGCAATCATTCAACTAGCATCCGGTTCAATTAGATTGATTCGATTTAAATTAATTTAATTTAATAAAAATTAAATTGAATAGATATAAAATTAAATTGATTTAAATTATAAAATTTGAAAATTGATATAATTGATTTAATTTGTAATTTTATTTTTGAACTGTTTGATTATAAAATAAAATTTTATTACACGATAATTTAATTAAATAATATAGTATATTTTTTATAATATTTTAATTTTTTTTATTTTATAAGATAATAATTTCATTAACTTAATTTAAAAATAAAAATAAAATATCTTTATATTTTTTAATTTATTTTTTTTTAAATCGTGCATTTTAACTCTAATTTTAAATGTTT